CAAAATCAAAATCAAAATAATAGAAAACAGCTTTACTTGGAAGAGCTTCCATCCTGCAACAATACTTTGAACACCATCAAACAACATCTGCCTATCCCAGGTCCTTGGGAAGGACTCGATAGGTGGATAAAAATGCCAAATCCAGTCTAAACATCTGAATGACTGTGTGACCAACAGTAATAATAACAATCAGCTTGTGCAAGAAGATTGCACAGACTGATTATCAACAATGACATAACACAGTCACCAAAATAATTCACTGGAACATCTGTAAAAATTATCATCTGCCAGTAATGAAAAATGGGTGGGAGCGTAGGGTTGAAAAAGTAGTAAAAAATGAGCAGATTAAAATACTATGGGATTTCCAAATACAAACTGATAACATTTTGGCGCATAACACACCAGATTTAACTGTGGTTGAAAAGATGAAAGTGTGGATAATTGATGTGGCAATACCAGGAGATAGTAGAATAGAAGACAAAGTATCAAGATCTGAAAATCAGAGTTGAAAGATTATGGCATAAACTGGCAGTGGTTATCAGCCCTCTGGGGGCCATAGCAAAAAGCCTTGGACCACACTTAGAAAATCTGCGCATTGACAAAATTTCCATCTGTTAATTACAAAAGGCCGCGCTGCTCGGATCCGCACATATACTATGCCGATATATTATGACATCTTAGGTTCTTGGGAAGAACTCAGTGTGAAGGAAGGCTAACACCAGCTAAAGAACTGGCAGCTGTGACTTCTCATTGTTGTATATTATTATTATTATTATTATTACTATTATTATTATTATTATTATTATTATTATTATTATTATTTTGTCCTGGTCAAAGTAAATTACCATTTTGAATGTAGATCCAACAAGATACTCACATATGTTAGGGTAACACATTGTCACATCTGGGGGAATCTGGTTTCAGAAATAGGCAGCTGTTAATTGACCATATGGAAGCATGGGATTCTTACCATTCTATCTACTCTTTTATTTTTTTAGGATGGTCCTAAATTCAGGGCCAAATTCCACACTCATCCATCCATACACAGAGACAAATGCATATGAAGACAACATGAGTTCATGAGACTTTTCACCAAACTGAAAATTGGTTCTCTCCCACTAGGATTTGTAGCAACAGTTTCAACCAAAATCTATTTTCTTATATCTTAAGTTCTTCAGCCAAAGAATGAATAATTGTTGTAAAGTATGCCGTGCTGCCATTGTTTTTCTCCCCACCCTCCATCAATTTGTTCTTATTTATCCAAACAAAAGAACACTCTATAGATTAGATAACACTTAGCCCAGCCCAATAAATGAGGCAGTTCTCTGCTTAAATCTTGCTCATTTGTACAATTTTCATAATGGCAAACATTCTTATGCTCTTGCAGAGCAAATACAAAAAGCTTTTTAGTACAGCAGAAACGTGCACTAATTCAAGTGAGTACAAAAGCTTTTCATTTAGCTTGATTATGTGTGTGAGAGATTGAATTCTTGTGAGATTGAATGCATTAGACTCAAATATGTTCTTTTTTTTTTTAAGTGTTGAGCTCAAACAATTCCTGAAGTCTCCATATATTTATTTTCTTGAGGATTTTTTAAAGTCAACTGAAATGATGGAAAGAAAAACATTGTCCAGCTTTCTAATGACAAGAAAAGTGATAAG